CGCCCCCAGCCTCCCTGCCTTCCCTTTCCTTATTGCCCACGTTTCGCCCAGTCCTCACCTTCGTAGACGCCCAGACGCCCATCGCCGCCGCACAGCTGGCCGGGGTGGCCGAAGCAGATCTGGTCACAGTCGGTGGCCGGCGCTGGGCGACCCCGAGCCAAGTCGCTCTCGGAGCCACAGAAGCAGGCGTAGCCAGCTTCCACACCCGCCAGCTGGGGGCACAGAGTGGGTGACGCCAGGGGCAGGGCCTGGGGTACGGGCGGGGCAGTGGGCGCCCGGGCTCGGGCTCGGAAGTGGGAAGCGGACCGGAGGCCCAGAGATGAGTATCAAGGTTTGGTGTCAGCGCTGGGAGTTGTTCTGGGCCCTGATTTCAGTCAAGGTCAGGGGCCACTGGCCGGGGCCGGTGGACAGTACCTGGTAGCCCTTCATGCGGCAGAAGCGGAGGCACACCTGGACCGTGAGCTTCGTAGAGGTGCCACTGGGGCCGCTGAGGGCCGGGGGGGCTCCCGAGTCCACGAAGCAGCCCAGGTAGCCGGGCACTGAGGGGGCAGGGGACGCGGGGTCAGTCTGGCGCCTTCCCTCGGGAACCGCACACAGGCAGCCCGCGCTCGCCCGTGTCCAGCTCCCCACTCACTGTGACAGGTGGGGATGTCGCAGTAGCGCCAGTAGATGCCCTCCTCGGTCTCGGCCACGTAGCACCACGGCTGCACGTCGCCATCTGGGTTCCTGCGGGCGGGGAGGTGGTCCAGGTCCTGCTGCCCGCAGATCCCACCCTCCATCCCCGCCCCCCGGGGTGCAGCAACTCCCCGTTCTGCGCGTAGACGTCCACGCGGACGGCGGGAAGTCATGAAGGGCCCCGAGGGCAGGTTTTAGGCATTCGGCTGCGGACTGTGCCTTTGCAGAGCTCCTCCCCGACCGCGCCGAGGGCCTCGGCCGCTGCCTGGCCTTTGAGCCCCGCTTCCCAGCAGAAGTGGTGACTTCTACCCGCAGAGAAGTGTCCTCCCGCTCAGCTCGGTCCCTACTGCTCCCGACAGCAGCTGTGTCTCTGAACCCCAAGTCCCTCGGTCACCGCTAGTGGGTGCCCCTCAAAGAAGCTGTAGGGCAAGGCCCAGCCCCTCACGCCGGAGATCGCTTCCTGGCCCCATCCACACGGGTCCTCCGGTACCCAGGCCTGCACAGAAGCTGGCACCTAAGGCCCGACCCGCGTCAGAAAATGTGAGCGCCCAGCGCAGGCCAAGGCCTGTCCCATACCCTTCCGCTGGGCCGGTCCAACCGAGGGTTCTTCTCCCCGCTCCGGGCCCCCAGCCCGGGCCTCAGGCCCACGC